TTCAGATGGTGACCGGAGCACATGGCCTCAGAACACGACGCGGATTGTAGACTCCGATGGGCAGGTCAATTACATGCACTACGTGCCTCTCGATGAGGGAATGGCTATAAAATGGCGGGTGCAAGTTGGACAAGCATTGGCAAATGGCCTTAATTGGCCCAGTAAGTTCTAATCGAAATGTGCAAGCTGTTTTGATATCCATACGTTACTCGCAGAGGGCTCTGCCTATGTGCTGCAAGATTGGCCGGCTGACTATCGAATGTTCATACACTACAAGGGACCAGCCTCAAATCCCCGGCAAGATGTCTATCTATTCGGTGTGCGATCTTGTGCAGACAGAGTTTAGGATAGAACTCAAATACTTCTTTACTTAGGATCAACAAATTCACCCAAATTTCGTTCTGTACCAGAATTCATACCACATGCCATGTGGCTCTGTGGCGACCCATCGGCAAAGTGTCAATGCAAGTATTGCTCAAAATCCAAGCAACGGGAAATCACCTCTTCCATGGGAGAGCGAGGGATCATTGAAAAGATGTCTCCTGGTCCTTCGAGTTCCCCCTTACGAACTTCGCTCCCGAAGCGGAAACTTCGAGCGGAGGGGAGCTCACTCCGTAACCAAATTGTCTATGCTGCAGTACAGAAAGCAAAACTGACAAGGCCTTCCACTTTCATCGTTCCAAAACATCCTGCACCTGTCGAAAAAATTGCTGATCTTGAGGCTGCGCATCATAACAACACCGCTTTGCAACTCAGACGGTGGTATAGGAATGATGAACTTGTATGGGTCGAGTTAGAGTCACCGATAGCCGGACTTAAAGGAAACGGCGATATCATCAAGGCCTGGCCAGCCATAGTAGAGTATTCTTTGACTCGTGTCAACCCTTCCAAAAGCCCTGAAGATGGTTCTACTAATTCTCAGAGCGGCTCACATTCTGACTATGATCCTGAAAACCCTCCGTGGACTGTCACCCATTATACCAAGTACAAATTGAAATTATTAGCCACATCGTGCTCTTTGATGGCACGAGATGACCAAGTTCTCCCTTATCATGCTTATCTGCCTCCAGCAGAACTCATTTACGCGCTTCAAGACGTTCCTCTCTCCAATATACGGTTTGATCCAGAATACACTACCAACTTTACTCCAGTCACCACTCAAAATCCTGATGAACCTCCACCTCCACCTCCTTCGTTCGAGGATAGCACAGGCCCATATGCGCTTGCTGTCCAGATTGGCTCGCAGATTGCTGGATTTTGGGGCCTCACGGATGACTGGGACTTCAAGTTTTCCTTCAGAAGCGACCCACCTCCATCGACTGGGCCGTCGAACTCTCGCTCCGAAGGATATTCTTTGCAGGATGCCATCGTTGCTGCGGGAAATAGTAATGCTAGCAATATCGGCCCTCAGACATCTTACGGGAGCTCTGACATATCCGGAAACCGTTATATGACCGCGGAGGAATTACACCGAACGAGATCTGCGACACTTGGTACACCTAAAGCTGTAGGTCATACCTTTACTCAGAAAAATTTCCATGGTTTATGGTGGGGCGCCGAAAGGATCTGGACAGGAGATGTATTGCGGTTGAAGATGGGACGAAATGCGATTGCAAGAGACGGTGCACCTCACATCCTAGCTCCATCACCTGCCGGTCCCAAAGCGATCTTACACAGTACGCAGAATGGTGACAATGTAGACCCGAAAGAGCTCGGTGCGCGCTCTCGAGGCGTTTTCATGCGGCTGGATGCGCTGTTCATGGTAGAAGTGGACTTTGGGCAGGGCAGAAAGCGTAACGAGTGTAGAGCTGCTGGGATGTTGTACGAGCTTGCGGATATCGACTGGGTCGATCCTTCGGAAGAAAAGCATGAGTCGACGCCGGTAGGGACCAACAGTACCATCTCGGGCGAATATTCCAATGGGGTGTCGAACGCCCTTCCTCAACCTTCTCCGCTACGACCTACAGCCCTCCCTAATCCTGATCCCACCGTGCCCGTTGAAGATACTGCCCCGCAAATACTCTCAGAAATGCTGCCCCACTCGTCCGCGCCTGTGAGCAAACCAAAAGGCGTACACAAGCCACCGATCCCAGTTTCTCATTACGAGCTACCGGAACCTCCCACTGGGTTCAAGTTCCGGCCTATACTCGAGCCGGGATACGAGGCCGTATTCAGTCTTACTCTGCTGAGCGGACGATACTACCCCGGCATTCTTGGACATCCTCTTCTAACGGAAGCCATCGATCAGGCGTTTACACCTGAAGGAAAGGTCGACCCCCAGACTAGCCATTTGTGGGCATTAGAGGGTCTGGAACCTGGGTTCACTAATTCCGTGGATCCTATCAAATATAAGAGGGAAAGGTTCAAGATGGTTATAGATGGAGAGTGCAACGCCAGGGATCAGCTCAAAGAACATCTCAGTGCTAATTTAGAGCAGACGAATGGGGATATATCCATGGAGAACGGCAACAACGAGAGTATGGATATCAATCCAATGGCAAATGACCAAATGCAAGTCGACTCGTAGTCTTCGGTCAATTTTTGTTGTGCGTATATTGTTTATCTTTGCTTGGGTTGTGTACAACGTTCATTCCATTCCCAGCAACCGGTCAAACACATTACTATTAGGTATAATCTACCGCGATGTCAGTTCGACAGTATTCTTGAATGCTCCCAGTAACGCGCTCATCTGAATTTTTTCGTTACCACCAGTAGAAAGACGATATCTGAATTGTATCATAACATTTGTTTTTTTTTCTTGTAGACAAAGACCAGATACGCACTCTGTGGTAGCTAGATGATCGAGGATATAAATTCTAGCGTGAGGTTTTAGCTCGATTGTCTCGATGTACTCATACACGCCAGATAGAAGATCTTGAAGAGCTAAGCCACGTTCCGTCTTCATAGTTGATATCACTGAAGGATTACTTTGTGAATGATGACGTTCGAATCTTTGGGGGTACTCACATTGGTGGGCCGTTGTGTATTCGTCAGATAGCATTGATTTGACAATTGTTTCAATGTCAGAAGGATGTGGATTTCCTGTACAGTTATATATTTCTGTCTCTGTAGTTATGTCGTAGGCAGCATGACATGCTTGCAGAACGTTGAGAGCACGTCGCATATCGCCTTTAGAAAGCTTCAACAAGGCCTTCTTTCCATCTTCTGTCAGTTTCACGCTATGAGGCAAAAATTGAGTACAGTATGAGGAAGGATTTGTTTGTTACGCACTTTTCCGTCTCCACAACAACATTTATTCTCTTCTCCACCTCTATTATGGGCAAAGGCGAAAACCTGAAGCGTGTACATCGGCTTTGAATAGCAGGGGCAATTTTGTTGACGTAATTACAGATGATGCAGAACCGGACGTTCTTGGTGTACTGTTCGATTACACGACGCAAAGCGGCTTGTGCTGCTTGTGTCATCATGTCTGCTTCATCGAGGATGATCAGCTTGAAGCCTTTGGCGAAAAGTGTACGTGTTTCGGCAAACTGTTTGATCTGTTCTCGAACTACATCGATGCCGCGGTCGTCTGACGCGTTGAGCTGAAAAGGAGATCTATAACAAAGGGAATGCGGACATTGGAGGTATTGACGCACTTCAAGAATTTGCTTCCTGTAATCTCCGCCGTATATTCGGCGAGCTACTGCAAGGATAGTCGAAGTTTTCCCTGTTCCAGGGGGTCCGTAGAGTAAGAGATGTGGAAGTCGGTTCTTCTCTATGAACTTCTCGACTGAGTAGCAGTAAGATTATGCGCGTTCATTTGGCCAAAAACGGGTTCATACTCGTGCTAGTAATGTCCTTATGAGAGACAACATCATCCAGTGTAACTGGTCGATATTTTTCGACCCTGAGACGCGTCAGATTAGGGATGAATGCTGAGATACATAATGACTTACCACGGTAGATTTTCGTTCAACTCGGAAAGAAAGACGTCCTCTGTGCTGGATACTTTCCCCTTGCCTTTCAAGGATGAGGGTATAGGGTCGACATCCATGAATTCATCATCGCTCATCTTGTACTTTGAAAGTGAGATAGAGCGAATTAGTCACGCGTAGACGCGTCAAACCTTCAAACTCCGCTTCATTTGTAAGTGAAGCTCCTATCTGAAATAATCGTACAATTCTGAACGACTTGTTCTGACCCTAAACCTTCGTTCTGCAGATATCTCTGCCCTCCAATCTCAAACTCGAACTACTGTTAGTCAATTAACAATCTCATGTCACTAGCTCTTAAACATCGCAAGTTCTTTTTCGCAACCGGACAGGTCGCCCGTGAGCAGCATATCGTGAGATGCGACAAGGGAGGCTCATGTATCTTTGGATATCTTCAGTACCTAATAAGTAGCCTACTTGGTCGACGACTCTATGAGATCATTTTTCATCATTTAATATGAAAAATGACGTTATACGACTCGCTTTTCTTACTCAAACAGATTCCTCTCACTTGAACTTTCTTGAATAACGAAAATCATGCATGGGCCTGGGTACTTACCGGTACCAATGTGGGCGAGGAACTTGTAGCAGACTCTAGAGGTCCTACACATTAGTAGCGTTAAGACGAGTGGTTCTGCATCGATGTTTTGTCAGCAGCACATTCGAAAGGTGTGGTTGTTAACAAAACTGAACACATAATCTTTTCCAACGGTTGCCTGAGCTGGACCAAGACGGGCCACGTTGCCACAATCTTTGAGCTTTCTACTAACTTCAAAAGTCATGTTTTTTGGGCTGGTAATATTTCTCTTTGGGCATCTTTGCATTGGAGTTCAATATCCCTGGCGGCCATTCGGATTTATCCATGCTTCATGAAACCTTCCGAAGAGAAGGAGAAGGTAGGTCCTGATATAACGGTGGTCAAGGTAATAAATCTCCATTCTGCTCGCAGTAAGTTTCAGTGTGGTTTGTATTCAATGCACTATGCGTATTCGCTCGTTGATCTATAACTCAGCGGAGAAGGGAAAACGGCGCTCCTGATACTTACTCCGCATCCCGTATGTATATGGTGAGATGGCCGAGCGGTCTAAGGCGCCAGACTAAGGAGACCAACACATTTGATGTGTGAATTTAAATCTGGTCACATTGTGGCGTGGGTTCGAATCCCACTCTCATCATATTTTCGTAACTCCAGGTGGTTAAGTTTTTTGTATCGGGAACAAACCATTTACTTCGTTGGTTATTATTTTTTTCATCAACCTTCTAGTAAGTAAGACTGAATATTAAAGCGCGGGGAGTCGCGGCAAGTTCATTGTCCGCGCCACTGTTTCTCGGTTTTGGGTCGTGTTAGCTTCTCATGTGCCGTACTTATAGCACGTTGTATGGTGGTCATTCCTAACACCTATCATTGATTTATCTTCCTCTGGTTATATTCACTATCGCTCGTAGCTAGCAGCACCTTTTCGATCCCATCGATATATGGTCAGCCGTCTTGAAGCTGTGATTTATACTTCAGACTGATAATTTAACCAGTGTGTAATTCTGGATAAATTTCTATCGAAATTAACACTGCAGTTTGTGTTTGCTTGGATTAGACACGTGAGCGAGTGAAGCATGGGAAACTGTACAGGCACTGCCACTGCCTACAGCAACACTGATCACAAACCGATTACCAATACAAATAACTACTGGCTCTTGCTTTTGTCAAAGACTCCACCGTTATCTCGTTGGATAGACAGAGGCGTCCGAAATCAGGATGCAGATTTTTGTGAAAACGTGTGTGGTTCCTACGCTATATTCCTGTCTCCACTAACGTATGTACGTTTTCGTAGCCTCACGGGTAAAACTATCACCCTCGAGGTTGAATCCTCCGATACTATTGACAATGTCAAGGCTAAAATCCAGGACAAAGAAGGGTATGTGTCCGAGTGCTGAAATTTCAGCCAACTCTGATTTCAAAGCTCAGGATTCCTCCTGATCAGCAGCGTTTGATTTTCGCTGGAAAACAACTTGAGGATGGACGTACTCTCAGTGACTACAACATTCAAAAGGAGTCTACCCTGCACTTGGTGCTGCGTCTTCGTGGTGGTGCTAAGAAGCGTAAGAAGAAGACTTACAACGTAGGCTTCTTTAATCAGTCATCACAACTGCAGTTCTGACTGCCGCTATCCTTTAGACCCCCAAGAAAATCAAACACAAGCGTAAGAAGGTCAAGATGTCAATCTTGAAGTATTACAAAGTGGACTCGGATGGAAAGATCAAGCGTCTTCGCCGTGAATGCCCCACTGCTGAGTGTGGCGCCGGTATTTTCGTGAGTCTTTTGCTACTGTGCAGAACTTTAGAATAATGACACTGTTTCGTCAGATGGCTTTGCACAAGGACCGTCAGTACTGCGGCAAGTGCGGTTTGACCTACACATTCACTCCCGGTAGCAAGCCTCCGGCAGTTTAAAAGGGATATGAGACGTATGCGGATTAAGGTTTACTGTATCATGTTATGCTCTTATCCATGCCAATGACAATCCTACTAATACGTTCACGAATTCTTGTTGTCGACCATCTCTGCCACCCTCCAAATGTAAATGCCATCACATCGCTGTCATGATCATAGTTGCACACCCACGACAATTGAAACAGTTACACATCTTATTGCCGTGAACTTCTCCGTTGGTGAACTTAATACACCATAATCTAGATTGCAGCCGGTTTTCTCGTTGTCTTCTGTTGGCAGGCTGTCACAGAATGCCGCTGGACATTGATAGCGAATTTAGCAGGTTCGTTATGTATATCAGCTAGTTTAGGGGAGAGCAAGATGACTTCCTCAAAATTTGACCTGCCCCGTCGTTTCTCAGTAACTCATGACAGCCCACGTCGACAACATTCGCAATGCAGTCAGTCCTTGCCTCAATCGCTCTAACATGTACCTTTCATGATATGATTTCGGAGGTCTACAAATTGCCTACAGATGTTAAAGAAATGGATGTAAATATCGTCTTACTCCCAACTGCGATACAATTCACGCAGCATTGAATTTCAGCGATTGGGTATCCAGCACACCATCTGGTCACTGATGATTGGTGGACTCTTTCCTGTCAACGTCAAGGACCAGGTAAATGAATTACTGAGCGCCGCGCAAGAAAGACAACCAATTGTTTTGGATGTCGGATGCGGTTCAGGAATATGGCAAGGAGGTAATGGACTGAGACCACATACGAGGCTAACCATATCGATTATTCAGGGCCTTTAGCATGGCCAAAGCCTTTCCCCATGCTCAAGTTGTGGGCCTTGATTTGAACGCTCAAGAATTCTCGTAGATATCTTGTCTTCTACACAGAATATGCGCGAATTCCTACTTATTTTTACAGGGATGCCCCAAAGAATTTCAGGTACGTTGCTCCAAGGAATCGAGGCCATGACTTCATTCACAAATTTGCTTCGCACAGGTTTATTCACGGAGATTCAGACCAAACTCTGCCAAAATTTGACGGTCAAGCATCCATCGTCCATTGTCGCTGCGTCGCGCAACATGTAAGAGAACGTATTCACTGTTCTCGGGACCGCCTTACAACTTGGTTGTTTAGGTCACGGACCCTCAAGCTCTAATTCTACTTCTTTCTCAAGCATTAGCACCTGGTCGCTATATTTATCTGCTCTTTTCTATTCGAACACTTATCTTAATCGTTCAGGCGGCCTTTTACTCTTGGCCGATGGCGATTGGATTGTTTATGACCAGCACAAGAAGCTCGTGGAGCCTTTCCAGTGGTGGGATTGTGGTACCACTAGCTCAAGCTTAGTGGAACCGGCGGTACTCGAGGAAGACGCCCATGGCCGTTCGTGGTATGCAGGCTGGCTCAATTTTCTTGGCAATCTTACTCGGAGCAAAAATTATCGACCGATTGAGGAGCTAGTTCAGAATGCCGATGCGCTAACGGTGCTGGACTCACGCCGCTATCTCAGCCCAATCAACTGGCCTGGGGAAGGGATAGAGAACGGCGAAGATTTGGGGAAATTCTTGATCATCAACCAAAGAGTGAGTTTTCATAGCTACTTTGTCAGCCACTAGTTCACCATGGTCTTTATTCATATCCGGGCTTCGTGATCACAGAATTTTTGCTTGGCTCCAAGGAAATCGCTTCACAGGCAGGATTCTCCCGGGAGATGATTGAAGTCTGGGGGCGACATTACGAAGCAGAGGTAGATTCTGGCCACTTTTACAATCTATGGCATTATCTCACTGCTCAAAAATAACTTACACCCATGTATATGTATGTTACATATATATATGACTAGGAGCGACAACTGTACTATACTCTAAGATACAATCTACGGTGTACCTTGTGGAAATCTAAAGGTAAGAATAAGAAGAGATTCAAGAATCTAATGAGGAACCTGTCTGTATATCTAATGTATTACTCAGTAAGCTTAAGTAATTCGAAATCTTTCTGAACGCGGTCCCAATGCTCCTCATGGCCAGAGGTACCGTGTATCTCTATAATCGAAGGGAATAGGCGGTGCAGATAGTGAGCCATGGATTTGTCTGGTGGGGTCGAAGCCGTCAGAGTCATATAGCGTAAGGAACCGTTGCCATTTCCAGCGAATTTCATTGCAGCATCGCAGGTTAATTTGGCCGAATCAATTGGTATCGTGAGAGTGTCAAGAACAGATAGCCTCTAGAGAGGATCGACAGTCCAGCCAGAGTCGCCTTGGGCATCCATCGAGGGTCAAACGTTGGAACAGAACCTAGGTCGAGATGTTCAAGGTTAGGCCACCATCGAACGATCTGTTCAAGATCTGAGTCTCGAACAAGAATAGGAGGCGTAGTCTCAATAACAATCTGGCGAAGATTCCGGTGATGAGAAAGTGAATGCAAGTGTTCGAAATGAAGGAAGTCATTAGGATTGGTTCGAAGGAGGTTATCGACATATGGGTGAAGCGTGGTATCTGGGCTACTGGGGGTATCACTTTCTAAAGAAAAATCCTGGGTATCCATATGATGTTCGATCGTCAGCTGAAGAAGACTGGCGTATGTTTTTCCTTGATAGCAGCGAAAAGGCCGCCCCAAGTATCGTTGGTGGAAACCAATGGCTCTATATCGATACGTAAGGCTACAAGATTTCCGCTCCGCATGTTCTGTAAAAGCTTCTCAATCAAGTTGGCGCGCCCACGAATATTAAGGGAGTGCAGTGAGGGAAAACATCCTTGCGATGAGAGAATGAAGTCTTCGGGTTGGATATGAGACGTGTGAATTTCTAATTCCCTGAGGTAAGGAAAAGTGGATATTGCGGTCAAAGTCTCGACGGGCAATGTTGCACCGACACAAAGGTGGAGGACCTTAAGACGCGAAAGATTGTTGACTGAGTCCATTACTTGGCCTGATGCGCCGCCACGCAAGCTCAGAGAATCGAAGGAGCTCGACACACGGTCTGCAGTCGTTAAGAAGTCAAATGCAGTTCTATTAGCGGTCTCGAAGGTGTTCATTTTGAAGCCTAAGTCCAACTCCACCGTCTTCAATCCTTTCGCTAACGAAATGATGGGACTCAGGGAAGAGCACTTCGTCAGGGAAAGTTGAACATTAGAAAGCTTTCGAAAGATACACGCATGTTCGTGGTCTTGAAGAAGCAACGACACCAGCGTAGGGTGAAGACGTATATTCTCCCGGTAGACGATTTGTTTGACCCGCGAGGCGTAGCAATGCAAAAGTCGAAAATCGGGGCAAAAAGGCAATTCAAGGACCTGTTATTTATGTGGGCTGAGGGAGGTAGAAGCATAGGATTATCAAGGCTCACGTAGACTCCATTGACACACAGCAAGCCAGGTATAAGATCTAGCAAAGGTTTGAAGGACGAAATGCGCCACCAGAGTCGATCCAGCGCAGGGTCTTTCCATGCCTGACAAGTTCGCGCGATTCGACTGAGCGTCCAGCTCTCAGTGCAAGAGTCAAGGATAACTTCTAAGATCTCATCTATAAGCAATGCTTGGTGCATGCTCCTGACCAAACGAATGTGAGTTTGAAAGGTAGAAAAAAAGAACAAATTGGCGCCCAAAAATTTTGCGTGGGAGACTCTTGATTTGTTTTCAAGATAACCAGCTTTGACCTGCGATTTTCTAAGGTTTACGTTTATCTTTCGAACTTTGACTAGTAATGACGCCAGATACGAGCCTTGATCCTGAAGACATTC